CATCCCACTGTGTCCATCCTACAGTACTGACATCCCACTGACAGTTCATCCCAGTCCATCCCACAGTACTGACATCCCACTGACAGTTCATCCCAGTCCATCCCACAGTACTGACAGTCCATCCCACTGTGTACCAAATCAGAAGTTAATAATATACAGTGGCTCTCTCGGTCTTTAATTCAATCAACTTTAACTAAATTTGTTGCTTGGAATATCGTTAATATAGATCACCTAATAGATAATAACTCAAATATTAATTATTTAGTCTCTTGATTATGTTTAACTTTTCCACTATATATTTTCCTTTAATCATTTAAGATATAATTCATTTCTTTAACGAGAATTGTTATATTACATTGTTTATGTACGTCTCTCCTGCTTTGTAATAATGGAAACGATCACATGCATGATATACTCTATCATCTGGGTTAGTTTTTTAATGTAATCAGTAGCGTAATTACGATTTTTGGGCTTCCCTGCAAAAATATGTAAAGGACTCCCAAAAGTATAAACTATATTGTCTAGCTTTCGTTGGGCCCCCCTGAACTCTCGCTACACACACACACATTGACACTGAAAACAACGGTTCTTTATTCAAGTTATAGAGAGTTAGGCTCTTGCTGAAAGTGTAAATCTCTACTAATAACTGTGTTTCACTGACGTTTAGGGCTGAGCGCCGGCCCAGTGGTTAGCGTTTCCAACTGTGGAACTGAAGTTCGTGGTTCGCCAAATATAATAAGAAAGAGATCGCCTTCCCCACTTTAAGGTGTTTTAAGAGTGACGGTGGAATCCCACAATCTAGTCTGTAAAGAGTAGCCCAAAAGTGGACGGTGTGTAGTGTTGAATAGTTACATTCCCTCTAGTCTATCACTTCAAAATTCAGTACGGCTAGCTAAGATATTCTTCGTGTAGCTTTGTGCGAAATTCAACAAATAATTCATTTAAAGTTACAGTTCCTTCTTTCTTTAATGTTGCCCACAGTGTCTCAGCAGTAAGTCTGAAGGCATATAATGCTTGAAACTGGGTTTCGATACCTGTGATGAACAGAGCACAGATAGCCCATTTTGTGCCTGGGCTTAACGACAGGCATCTTAATATTAATCTAGTACTGATTAAAAGATTGTCATAAGGTAGGCACCTTATTCTATACCAAGAACACTTATTTTCCTATATCTTTCCATTTCTGAATTATTTATCTGTCAACAGACTTTTAAACAGCCCTGTTTAGTACATTTTTTTTATGATGACTATTTTGTATTGTAGGCTTAGAATATGGATTTAGAGCTAACTTTCAATATAAATTTAACATCGTGAAGATGCCACGCTCACATGGACTGACACGTCACAGTTAGAATTGCTTCCGAAGATTCCAATACTGTATTTAATAACCTAGTAAGATACTCAAAATGCCCCTCAGTGACACAGTGGTATATCTTCTGACTTATACCGCTAAAAACCGGGTTTAAATACCCGTGGTGGGGAGAGCCCTTTGTGTAGCTTTGTGCTTAACTGCAAAACAAAGATACTCAAAATTGAATTCTTAATCAATTTAAATCTCCTAAGCTGGCCGAACTGTAAGAGATATTATTGGAATAATGACCGAAAATATTGATAACTGCGTGGATGCCCAGCTGATAAAGTACAGCATTACAATCAACGTTTTGTTTGTTTTATGAAATTACGTACTCCTAGTCAAATTGGTAAATTAATCAGCTACGTTATTCACTGTGATATTTTTTCTCAAATATTATTTATAAGAAACTGAAATATAAGTATGACTAGTTATTATCTTCTGATTTTAAGAACACAGAAGAAAAACTTATCTTTATGAACTATTTCGCCATTTTTAATAACGCCATGTATTCTAAATAATGAAACGAGAGCTGGTATCCAGGTTCAGCTTGCTGTACATCTTAAAAACATATATACCTAAATATTTATCTCTATAAACAGAAAATATGAGATTTTAAATCAAAATAGTCTAGACGTATTGAGACTGAGCAACCCTCAGTCGCACTTGCTATCAGAAGAATAGAGATCAGTTTTACCTTGGAAGTCAGATTCTTTACTAACATCACAAGAAGTATAGATAGCGCTGCCTGCACCAAATCTGGAGTTCAAGTTTTCAACAGTTTTCAATCCTTTATCATTGTTAACATCTGCTATACAAACCTACAACATAAACATACTCTATAAATAACATGCAATACAACATCCATAGTATCAAAATGTAAAGGAAATAGATATAATCTCTTTGGCTTAGATTTTTTGCATGTTTTTTGTCTTGTGCTTTGTATGCTTAACCACTCAGATTAAACACTTTTATCAAGAGACTTCAACACTGATAACTACACGTGTAGTGTTTTGATAACGGTGTATAATCAAAAGGTTGAGATAAAAAATAAAACAAAATGTTGGAGTTAAATAAAAAGGCCGTGTTTATTTGTTTTAGATACAGCATCTCCTGTTGGCACTGAGGGATTTAAAAACCGACAATTCTTATAACATACGAAGTTTAGTTACTGTAATAAGTTAATACAGCAGCAAAACATATTTGTTGTAATATTATAAAAAAAAACATACGATATGCTTGTAGATATAAGATACCCTAATTAACGACATATAAAGGTTTATTGTGTTGGTTTAACGAATATTAGCTCCGAACAAAGTACACTAATTTCATTTTTACATCTTAAAATCCGTTATATTCAACGACAGATACCGAGAGAACGAATTCATGCGAACAAAATTGTTACGAGAAACAGGTTTTTAAAGCACTAACTAAAATATGTTTACAAAACGTATAATTAATTACCAAACTACTTTTAACGTGCTACATACACCACACGTATCTGCGACGTCACCTTATGGTCACACTTTGGTGCTTGTGTTTCATTTTCATTACGTGACATATAAGTTTTTGAGTGGTCATAGGTACCACGTTTTCTTGGGGACGTTTTGAAGACGTTATATGTAATCCCCACAAGGCGGTAGCACAAACTATATATTCATTAAAGAGCGACACTACACTCTTTACTCGTGATCTGATAGATACCGGTTTTTCTAACTGAAAGGTATAACAGTTACATTTTGTCTTCTTTGTAAACCAGTTTTGGTATGAGAAATACTTTTTGTAATGCCACAGAATTACAGAAACATTTAAATAGGGCATTTAGAGATTTAATAATTTCGAAACTCCTTATACATGGGCGATAATGAAACAATTAGACTCTGCTATTTCTATAATATAATTATAACAAAATAATATCATATCGATTATTTTCCTTATTGTTTACTTAGTGTCATGGGACCTTTTTTATACTGACACAATGTGATAATTCTCAGAGGTTTTTCACTTTTAGGAGCGCATGTATTTACTATATACAGTATTTTTATTTTACATGTTTACTGACCTATTGTCACTAGTTTAGTACTTTGAGTAGTTGTTGCTTATTGTGCTTTTATGCAATCTCTGACAATTAATCTTTCAGTATTTCAGTACTTCTCAATGTATTATTTTAGATGAAATATAATTCATTTACTCAATTACGTGTGATGTGTATGTTTTTATTGAGGAACAGAAATAAACCAACAATATTAAAAAAAAAGACAAGTTTCAATTAAGTCTTGGAAATGTTAATATGTGACTTCACAATGAGAAGGGCCCGGCATAGCCAGGTGGTTAGGGTGCTTGACTCGCAATCTGAGGGTCGCGGGTTCGAATCCCCGTCCCACCAAACATGTTCGCCCTTTCAGTCGTGGGCGTTATAATGTGACGGTCAATCCCACTATTCGTTAGTAAAAGAGTAGAACACTAGCTGCTTTCCCTCAAGTCTTACACTGCTAAATTAGGGACGGCTAGCGCAGATAGCCCTCATGTAGCTTTGCGCGAAATTCAAACAAACAACCACAATTAGAGGTAGTTATATTCACCCCAGAGGCAGGCGTCCCTCAAGGATGGGTAGTTAGCCCTATTCTATTCATTATGTATGTGAGCAATATGCCTCTAAAAGACCCAAATCATGGGTTCGCATAACAATTCGCGGACGATGTTGCGGTTTGGAAAAGTACGCCCCACCCCGTCCATAGCAGCAACAAATTTACAAACATTATTGAATAATATAGAATGATATTGCCGAAAATATCAAATAAACGTCCCAAAAACCAAATACTAACTTTTACAAGATTAATAAACACACACACACACACACAAAAAAACACCTAAACTATACACGAATGGAACACTTCTCCAGACCACAACCTCGGCAAAATTTTTAGGATTAACCTTCGACCCAAAATTGACGTGGGTAAAACATACAAATAATATATTAACAAAAGTCTGGAAACGTACAAATTATGCAAGAAGTTTAACAAGCAAAAACCAAGGAACATCACCTAATAACATAATTAAAATATACAAAACATACATACGTCCCATAATAGAATATGCCAGTCTGGCATGGATAAACATAGTTCCAAAACACATAAATAAACTACAAAAACCAAGGAACATCACCTGATAACATTATCAAAATATACAAAACATACATACGTCCCATAATAGAATATGCCAGTCCGGCATGGATAAACATAGTTCCAAAACACATAAATAAACAACAAAAACCAAGGAACATTACCTGATAACATTATCAAAATATACAAATCATACATACATCCCATAATAGAATATGCAAGTCCGGCATGAATAAACATAGTTCCATAACACATAAATAAACTACAAAAACCAAGGAACATCACCTGATAACATTATCAAAATATACAAAACATACATACATCCCATAATAGAATATGCCAGTCCGGCATGGATAAACATAGTTCCAAAACACATAAATAAACTACAAAAACCAAGGAACATCACCTGATAACATTATCAAAAT